GTCACATTATAACACCCCACGGCTGAAAGGGCGAGCATGTTTGGTGTGATGGGGATTCGAACCCGCGACCCTCAGATGGCCTTAACCACCTGGCCATGTCGGGTCTTGGATGGTTAGAAACTTTAATATTAAAAGCAAGTTTTATTTCCAAGTAGATCTTTAGAAAAATATATATCTTTCAATAAGGTTTTGGTTTCTTTTCGCGCATTATTTACTGTGTATTGGCATCAAATTTGAACTTTTACCCGAACTTTACAAGAACTAGAAAACTTATATATGATTTAAACAGCGTTATAAACAACAAGAGTGGCCATCTCTACAATTTACGTTATCCCTGTCGTTTAATGTTTAAATTGTCGCTATAGATTAAGCATATTTTCATAATTTTTTATCTCTTTCACAAAACATTTTTAGGTTGTCCAATTGCCTGATGTGTAGTTTTATGTAATAATTGCTCCTTTTATAAAACGAACTATTTTATATCCACTAAAGTTATAAGACAATTTAAGAAATGATTCAACGCTCTATGATACTTATTTTGTGACCCAAAAGGAGTATTGAATATGTAATAAGTATTTTCTGAACCCGATTTAAGGAATTATTCGACGCCCTCTATTCACCAGCACCTGACGCTTATTTTGTGATCCAAGAGAGGTCTTGAAGATGTAAGAAATATTTTATGGCGCCGAGCATGTCCTTGTAGCTTATGTGCCTGAATTGTGAATGAATCCGAAAGTTCATGGTTCGCATCTTTTAGTTGCAAAAACTATCTCCACACTTTGGGGCCTTGAAAGTCCGTAAGAGTGACAGTCACGTTCCAGTATTCGATATGCACAGAAGAATTGCCAAAGAGTTCAGAGTTAGGGATGACATATAGCTTTTTGTGTAACTTTATACGAAAATTCTGAAACAAACAATTAAGACATTTTATCAGAGCATTTCCTATGATGTGTCATATGAACAATAGCTTCCTCAGCTTTGCATGCATCAGTCCCAACAAAAATTTCTGAAAATATAACAACTACAATGTACGGTTCATTTAAATTTTATTTCATAAAAGTGATAAAACGTTGAGTAAACAGTTAAAAAAATATTGGAAGATAGCAACACTTTTTGATAACAACAAATTATTTTACTTTTGCTATTTATGAGGTACGTGATGATGACAAAACCTTGTCGAAATGTTGTACATTTGCTGTTATGTTAAACTTATATTAAAGTTTTCCTTCATTACCCATTCAAGCCGTCTCCAAGCGTTATTAGAAACGTTGTATGCAATTGTATGAAATCTTAATGTGTGTTAAATAGTATTTGGACTTACCAGAACTAGCCAATGATCATTCAACCAGTGGGTAATAAATATAATTTAGAATTCTATAGCTTATTACTTTTAATCGTATAAGACCCTATTCTTTAATTTTATGTTGAGACAATAAATTTACTTAATAAGAAATGAGATGGCGCTACAGTTTAGGTACACCAATTTTGAATGTTAAATTTGTATACGGAACAAAAGTTAAGACTTTAACTTTAAGGCATATTTTAAAAGCAAGTAAGCTATATTTGCTCATTTCTTTAATATTTATTATTAAACCAGAATTATAGAAGTTGCAATACAGGAAATATGCATTAATATAATCAATTATTAGCATTATTATTTGTTATTTAAAATCAAAACAACCGTTAGTTACAACTTACATTTTACAGTAATTACAGCTACACAGTCTTACACGGTAACATCGATAACCGTGATAACTATTAGTGATACTGATGATAATATTAACACGTTCTTGTTGGTTCTATAGATCTGCTTTTGTGTTTTGTGAAGTATTTTTATTTATAACTATAAGTACTGTAATTTGTAAAACCAGCATTTTTCTTTTTTTTTTTGGGCTAGTAGTAGTACGTTATGAACTTTTATCATGATACTGATAGTAATAGTTTCGATTTAACTTTTAATACTAATAGTTTATATAAAACTAAAAGCTTAGCTATTAATTTAAACTAAAGTAATATAACTTGTATTGTAAGTCACATCATTATATATTACTTGGCAAGTTATTGCTGAATAATCTTGATTGCAAAAGCCGTTTCTGACTTAGATATTTAGATTTGAATGAAATACAAATAATAATATATTAAATGCGATTTACACCACAATTGTCATTGTTTTAATCTTGCCATTACTGAATTAGACAAAAAAGTTTCAATGTTAAATTTAAATTAGCATTTGCATATGTAAAGTCTAAGAAATTGCATAAAATTTTCTTTGGGTAGTTTTGCTGAAAGTGCAAGAATATATGTCATGCCTTTGGTGGTGCATCAAATTTACTTGCAAATTGTATGTTGATTGACTATGATGTGAAAAGGTATGCCATATGTTTTTACACACAGTGTAAATAATAAAAATATAAGTGATTTATTAATAGTTACTGTATAGACTTGTTCAAATCACAAAGGTAAGACCATGGTTGATTGTTGACTATTGCTGTTCTGATTGGGCTAACTTTGTCCTAACATTGCAGCTGTGATCAAAGAATTTCATGAGTAACTGATGTGGCCACTAGGTACATTAGGCACTAAAATCAATTGGTTATTTATATGAACTTCAGTCTTCAGTGAATGTTATAGGTCTCTTACATCTAGAACTAAGCAATCAATATTTTACCCCACAAAAGTAATATTTATATAAATCCAAGATTTTGAAATTGTTTTTAAGTCTGTTCTAGTATTGTTTCACCACAACTAAATATTTAAAAGGATTATTTTTGGTGTTCATTTAACAAAGCTTTCTGAATTTGGATATCATTATTATAAAAATGCAGTAAATAATGTTATTTTTGGAGATTTAGAAACAAAGCACTGTGTTTTCAGGTTAAGGAATATTAATGTGTTATCATTATTGTTAGTATTTGAGAATCAAGAAAAAATAATTTTGCTGGTATACATACCACATAAAAGTAAAGTGGTACTTATAATGTAAATTTTTTTCTCTCTCTAATTTCAGCCATGTCCTGTGGAGACCAAGGTTTAGTCAAGTCTGTGCCTTTTTTTCCAAAGTTGAAACAGCTAGCATTTTCTCTTGATAAAGATGTGAATGAGATTAAGAAGCACAGTGATTCTTCTTTGACCAGATTGCCAGAAAATTCTGCTGCTCTTCAGTTATCACATTTACAAGAAGAGTTACAAACTATTCTGGTTGTGTGCTTTTATTCACTTATTTTTCATTATAATATTAGAAAATAACTCAAATTTTCTAGATGCATATTTCTATAAAGAGTAGAATGTTTTAAGTACAACATCTCATGATGAATCGTAAATAGAAATTAATAGTTGTTTTTTTTTCAAATTGAAAATGATATTACTACACTGTAAAATAAATGTTTACATTGCCATAAATAGTGTTGTGTTAAAGTATTACTTGCTGATAATGGTATTCTCGAATATAATTTTAATAAGAAACTGAATGTGTTTATTAGTTTAATGAATATTTTTTACACGTTAGGTTAATGCCCAAGAATCATCTGAGAAGCTGCACCATCTCAAAGTGACAGGAGACAAATGTTTGAAAGATACCAATAATATTGTAGCTGAGATAACTGAGAAGATAGCTCAAGTGGAAGAAGTTTTCAAAAAATATGGATTTCAATCTTGGACTAAATCTGGTAGGTATTAATACAGAGTAAGTATTAACTATTGTACAAGACAGAATTTACATACTAGATGTGTGAGACAACAATACAAATCAAGATAAATTAATACCAGAGCTTTCTCAAGAGAGAGAGAGAGAAAAAGAGGAAACTCAACAGTTATTGTTTTCATTACACTTTATTGCATATTTGTATATATATACAAATCATCTTATTGTACAAGAATTATTTATTTATATATGTAAAGTTTATGGCAACAATGAGAGAACAGACACATGCAAGGTTGTGCTCAGAATTTTCACTAAGAAAAAAAACTTTATTACATATGTAAAAAGGATCAAAAATGCTTATTGAAATGTTTTTCAAAGATAGAAACATTTACAAGAAGGCCAATACTAAAAAATCTTGCCTTAAATACTCATTCATACAGACATGAAATGGAAAAGCTGAACTTTGCTTGTTACTTGGTGACAGTGTAAAAAATCCATAACATAATATTTAGGGACAACAAGGGACCTATTGGTTCATCTGGGCTGTCCCATCCACTGAACTAAAATTATTAAAAAAAAATCCATACATGGATGTATATGTGTGTGTACAAAGCTGAACTAAAGTTAACTCATACAAATAGTAGAGTAAGATGGGCAAATGTAACATTAAAACAAATGATAGGCTTGGCCAGATACTTCTAATCGTATTAAGGGCAGAATAGTTTGCCTCCTCACCCCACTTCCATCCCCCATATCACAAATGCCATGAAAGCTCATTGAAATGTAAAAGGTTTGAAACATTCAATTTTTCTGTTTGATGAAATTCTTGTGTATTCTGTGAAAATATTTGTTAAATTTGTATATTTTGTGACAAAATTTGATGTATAAATATATATATATATATATAGAAAAAAACCTTCCTCAACTTTCACTATTTCAAGTTTTCTAGTTTTATAATATTTTTATTAATTATGTAATTTGAAAAATTACAAATTAATTATGTAGTTTGAGAAATAAAAAGACCAGTATTTATATATTACTTTATTACTTCCTTCACAGAGGTTATGTTTCATCCTTGTGTGTGTGTGTGTGTGAGTGTGTTTGTTAGCAAGAATTATCAAAAATGGCTGAATGGATTTGGAAAAAAAGTTGGTATACATTTAAACAATGATTTAACTTAGAAGTGATTAGTTCTTGGAGGTTCAGGGTCATGAAAATCGAAAATAAAACTGTTAACATGGGGACTGGTTTTTCACTCAACTTTTGCTCTGTAACTCAGTCAAAAATTATTGGATTTTGACAAAACTTGGTTGATAACGAAACACATACATATGGACACATTTTTGTATTTTTTGAGGGCTGAATATGATCAATGCTGCATGGTTGAGGTATGTGCTCTACTGAGTGCCCCTCTAATTTGGTATGTTTTGTTTTAGAGTTATTTCTGAATCATGAAACAAAAATATTTTTCACAATGATTTTTTAAAAAAAGACTCAGAGTTTTGATTCTAAATTACCTTGCTTCTGCCCTATATATGTTTGAGTGAATAGTCACAGACAAATTACTTTGTATTATATTTTACAGACTTTAATTAGTGATATTATAATATATTCTGTAAACATAATTGCTTACTTGTTATTTATGAGTCATGATTTACTGGGTTGACAATGATCTGTTATTAGTTTAATCTTTGGAAATATCTCAAGTTACCCATTACAACAACAGATATTTGCAGAGTTCTGCATATGTTACTACCTTTTGACACTGTAAATTTTATATCAAGTGCAACAGTCAATGTCTTTTCCACACACACAAATTGGTAATATTACAAAATATTGTTAAATACGTTTTTATTCTGTGATATTTCTGTGATTATTTATTAAATGCTTCTTATTTATTTACATTGTATGACTTCTTTCCTTGCATTAAAATTCTATAAATGATAATGAATTTACAATGCTGAACAATTCTATTTTGGATGTATGTAGCCAGTTTTAGTGTGATGCTTGTTGGTAAACTTTGAGCCAAAAACACTTTGCATGTTTTAAGAAGACAAAGACAGTTTTGAGGGATCAAGTGGCCTATTGTTGTCAGTTGGTTATGTTAAGTTAGAGAAAACATTTGTTAAGCTAGAAATTGCTGGACAAAGTTCTTAAAATCTTATTTAACTTCACCAAAATAAAAAAAACCTTTCTTGTGGTTGTTCTCTAATCCTTTTTAACTATAAACTTAATTGAGTAACTCAGTGGACATATAAAAATGTAAAAACTTTATACAAGTTAATATTCTTATTTTAGGACATATTTATTTAATCACTTTAGTTTAACATTTTATTCTGAAAAAACAAAATATTTTTCATATTACTTTTTTTACATTTTTCAGTTGATATTGTGGTATCACTTGCTACATAGATTTCCTGCAGATTAGTTAGTTAGTGCCTGTTAACAGGAAGTTAACAGAGAATGTTTATTTTTCTCTCTGAACCCTGACTGAATTTGTCGTAGAGAAAGAGTCAAGATGCAAATATTATGGTTGTGTTGGATAGGTGAGAGAAGTGAAGAGAAACCCTAATGAACTCCCTCACCAGTCCAGTATACCCCCCTCCCCCTTTAAGTTAAACTAAAAGTTACAAATTAAAAATTACTCATATTTAAATTTTTTTTTGTTTTGCATGGTATTTCTTACACATCCAAATTCTGTTGGGGGTGAGTTTCCGGGAGTGGGACTGGCGTCCTAGCTCGGACACCGGG